GGGGTAGTTTGAAACGAATGCATGGGTGTACACTAACAATTATATTGATGGCGGGTTTATTTGGCTCTTTTTGTATGAGAATGAAAATAGGATGGCTTGTTTTTTGGCTCTTTTTTGTCTTATTGATGGCGGGTTTCAAACTTTTTATCTGGCAACACTGTAAGTAAGATTGACTCATGTCATTATCAGACAGGATCGCAATTGAGAGGTGTGACGTTTTGACCACTGATTGCCAATCGGACAAGCGATCCTTGATCCCACAGGATGGGCATTTGAACCCTCCCCACCCCCACCCCCCTCTCACTCTTTCCATCTCCCCCTAAATTTCCCTGTCTTTTTAGTAAGAGTTTTACTGCACTTGCAACACAATAAGGCCATATAATTGCCGAAGATTAGAGGTGTTAAAAGAGAGTAACAAACACAAAAAAGAAGGAGGAGAGATAAGGAGGATAGATGTTGATAGCAAAGAAGAAGCAAATCACACCAGAGCACCCGCCAACCATCCACAATTTCCAAGTCTAAGACGGAATTCTTTTTCTGGCTCCCCTGCGATTTCGTCTAACAAAGGTGCAACTGTATCTCCCCTTAAGCGAACGAGGCCTCTCTTTACAGCCGCTCTGATTAAGCCTGCTACAGCTATGAGGGTAAATGTAACAACCACAACAAAATAATATACGACTGGCTGGTATTCTTGTCCTAGTTCTAGGTCCTCCCCAAACTCCCAGCTGATTCTTCCCCATGGTTCCCTTTCACTTTTAGAGTCCTTCACTTTGGTGAAGGCAACTTCCTTTTCCTTTCTTGATAGCTGTCCAATGTGTTCCGCAGTCAGCCACCTGTTAAAGAATGCACGAGTGATAAAATGTCTTACGTCTTCATCGACAAAATTTGATTCATTTGGGACCCCGGCTGCTTTGGCCCTGCCTGTCGAGGCTAACCTTAATAATAATATAATAATAGTAATAGTAATATAATAATAATGACAAAAACAACAACCACAGTAATAACAACAACAACAATAGTAACAATGATAATGATCCCCCGACTCCCCGAAAAATACATATATACACACATACACATCATCATCATCATCGTCATCCGGTGCCTTGCCGACTGGCGTGGGCGATCATGGACTTCCACTTCACTCTGTCCTGCGCTGCAGCAATGGTGTCCGTTGTTCTTGCTGCTCCTAGCCATGTTGTCATCTTGTCCAGTAACTTTTCCCTCTGTCTGCCTCTGCTTCTCTTTCCATCAAACTTTCCTGTTGTTACAATATTCTCTAATGCTTCTTTCCGCATTGTGTGTCCCAAGAAATTTGCCTGTCGTTTTCGTGATTAGTTGTTTTCTATAATTTGCTTCAACCAGGACTTCTTCATTTGCTTTTCTAGCTGTCCATGGGATACGTAGCATGCGTCTTATGAACCACAACTGTCGCTACAATTGTTCTTTCCAGCTGTTATTGATTGTCCACGCATACACATACACACACACACACATACACATACACATACACATACACATACACATTCACATACACATACACATACACATACACATACATATACACATACACATACACATACACATACACACATTGTTTAAGCGAACGCGTCAAAAGAGGGAAGGGAACTGAGGGTATGATCTACATTCCGACTCGCAGGTTAAGGTCATCGGCTGACAAAAAGAAATTTCTTTTACCGTCTATGAAAGTTAAAACAATGGGTGAAAGGGCATTTGAATATCAAGGCCTCAAGATCTGGGATGCTTAGCCCAGTAGTTTAAGAGTGATGAAATCTTTTGATTTATTCAAATGTCAGCTGAACTCATTTCTGTTTTTAAATTGAAAAGATGAATATTTTGAGAGATTTTCTTTTGGTCAGAACACAATGTTTTTATGTTATTGTTGTATTGTAAAGCGCTCAGAGCGTGTGTACTTTAATTGGGGTTGAGCGCTATATAAAATATGTGAGGCATCATGGTTGTAATCAGGCGCTCGTCAAAATGATGTCATCGAAAAAATCGGTATTTTTCGACCGGTTTTGGAAATTTTTTCGAATTTTCTTTTTTTTGGGGAGGGGGGGGGGTTGGCTCGCAGCACCTTGTATGTCCATTCAAAAACATTCTTCTGTGGGGATTTTATCCAAAAAAACCGTTGATTAAAGGCACGAAATCTATAGCTATGGAAGTCACCCAAATGTGGCGGCCATTTTCTCGCTAATTTTACTTCTGAAACCAGGTGACCCCTCCTCCTCCTTCAATGGCAAATATCTCGACTTCTAGTCAAAATAAATGTGTCGTCTTTTTTAATTCAAATACAATGTAAACGAACAACCTTTAAGATGACACCATTAACTCCTTTTACCCATAAATTGACGAGTGCCTGATTCCACCGCGTCATGACACATAACATGTCATTTCTTGTTACTTACGAGCACTTGGCGTTGCCATTTGTCTTGTTGTAGCTGCCCAGACAGCACATGATAGCGCCGTCAGATCGACATGCCGAGCCTCGCCGACGAACCTGTCCTTCCGGGCACTTCTCAGGACAAGGACGACACTGAAACATCATGGGGAAAATTAATTAATAGTGCTTTTATTTGCATTCTTTTTACTTGGCTCTTTCATTTTTAGAACTAAATTTGTTAGCTAAATATCAATTATTTCGTTCCTCCTGCATTAGAACTGAACACGTAAGTAAAAACGTTCACTTCTCCACAACAAAACCATTCAAAGGCACAACTCACAGGGCGGGCACGTTTGCCTCCCACAGGTTCGCGGTCACAGAGGCACTTAAAATCGTGGTATGACAAACCATGAACCAATCACAATTCACTAGAGCACTTTCCTGGATTGCTCCGGAGCTAACATAATTGGTCGCTTTTAAGCACAAGGGGGCTATCCCGGTAAATGCTGTTTTGAGAAAACCGAAGGTAAAGTTTTTGCCACTTGTTCAATTTCTTTAAAAGACAACGAGAGTTTTCTCTATAACCAAACACATTCACACAAATGAAACCAAACTTCTCTTATAGGTAGGGCAATGCCCACTTTGGGGTAGGTCAAGATTTCTGGAAGCACTCGAAATCTGGGTTAGCCCACTTGTCCTTAAAAGCGACCAATTTTGGAATAGAATAGAGTACAGTCTATTGCGTATATTTTTAGTCTCCCGAACTGTGGGCTATGTTTCGGCACTATTCGACAGGAGGACAATTGAGATGTGTCGTCTTATTAATATTAATTTACCGCCAAACTCGGTAGGAGAGTCGTCATAGCTTGGGTTATCCCGAAGAGCGATTTATATGTCAGATTACCACTGTTGAAAATCCTATTATGTTTAGATAAAGCGCGTGGACTTTGGCATGGCATAGTAGATGTTTCACGGCGCTATAGACACAGAAATGATAGTTACGGCGCCATCGAGGACCTTGTTTTGATAATAATATTTGGTTAGTGCTTGTTTCTGGCTTCTTTTATTTTATTATTGTGGGTGCTTTACGTAATATATAATTTTTTTTTAATTGGACAGCACTGCACGACCATGCTTTCTGGACGAACCGCGCCTGGTGCTTCTCCTTGGCCCCTTCTTACTGCTGCCTTTAAGCCACAACCCTGATCTTGTGGTAGGTAAGAATACACCCATCCTTCTCGAATACAGACAAAAGAAATGTTGTAGGTCCCGTGTGCAAATGGCTCACGTTAAAGATCCCTTGGTGGTCCAAAATCGATAAGAGCAGGCTGCTGCCGCCACCCGGGCAAAATTCAAAATTTCCAACCAACTGAAAATGTATAATATGTTCCGTGCGCTCATATGACCTTATGCAGTTCAGAGCGCCGTAAAACACTTACCCAAAAAAAAAAAGCAACAAAAAAACACAAAACACAAAAAACACGACCTTAGGGTTGCGAGTCGGACTGTATTACCTCCCCTCCATCGTTGTACATGTTCTCAGGGCAGGGCGTGTCCGAGAAGACCCTGGTAGAGCTGTCCAGGCAGTCCCTGTTCAGGTGCCACTCTTCCTCCTGGTATTGGTGTGCTGGGCACTTCCTGGGGAGTTGGTCACAAAAGGAGCAAAGTGTAATATGTTAGTTGTGTTATTGTTGTTGTTGTTATTGTTGTTGTTGTTGTTATTGTTGTTGTTGTTTTTTGGTAAGTGCTTTACGGCGCTCGCAACAGCTTAAGGTCATATGAGCGCGCGGGAAACGTTAGGCAGTTTCATTTTGGTAGAAATTAATTTTGAATTTTGTTCGGGTGGCGGCCGAAGCCTACTCTCATCGATCTTGGACCATCAAGAGATCTTTAACTTGCGCAACCTGCATACGGGTCGGGGACCTCCGAGATTTTTCGCCCTTATCCGAGACGGCTAAGTGTTAGATCTTACCAACCCTAAAATCAAGGGTATGGCTGAAAAACAGCTGTAAGAAGGAGCCAAGGAGTAACAGTAGAGAGGCTGCAGAAAGAGTCAGGAGCCCAAAGGAGGGGTTCAAAGGGGGGGGGGGGGGGGGCAGAAAGTGGACACGAAAGCAGGCGACAGAACATGGTTAGAGAGCAGGCAAGGAGGTGAAAGGAGAAAATTTTAGTTTAATGTGCCCCGCGCTCTCGTATGACCTTATGCAGTTGCCAGCGCCGTAGTAAAACACTTGCAAAAAAACCCGCCAAAAAACTACAAAAACAACAACAAAGAGACAAAACCAAAACCAAAAAAAACCCCACCCCCAAAACAAATCAAAACTAAACAAAATCATTCTCAGAAAACTTTACTGGTTATTGAAAAAGAATTCAAAGCCTTAATAAACTCGTGCTAAAAGGGGAGGTCGACGTTTCGCCGCAATTACGTCACAGCATGAACCTGTGGAAAATATAAGAAAGATCGTTTCGCCGCAGATAGAATTCGATTACAACTAGATTCAGTTTAGTACGTTGTGAGTACACTGCAGTAGTAGTTGTAGTAGTAGTAGTAGTAGTAGTAGTAGTAGTAGTAGTAGTAGTAGTAGTAGTAATGGAAGTAGGACTTTGAGTAGGATGGGTTTATATAATAATACAGACTTCAACACACTTGCAAATACTCTGAGTGGTCTTATCGGGTCGACCTGCACGTGGGCGTTCTTTGACTGATCCAGAGGCTTGGTGACGCTGCCTCAAGCGGACAATGACAGAGTGTGACACTGAAGGCCTTCTAGCAACTTCTCAGGCTTCAACTCCAACCTGCAGCCATGTCATAGCTCTCGCACGTTCAAAGTCTCTCAGCTTTCATCATGGTGGCATGTTGATGCCATACTGGATTTTGCGCAAACGGCGGCTTATATTGCTACCAAAGTGAGCACAGTTCGAGACCGTACGTCCGTTTATGACGTGCACCAGAAATTTTAACTGAGGAATGTCCGTATTGTCACCCACAAGTCGATAAAAAACCGCAAATTTGACTAAAATTCCCCGAGGATTTCCGTGCTGTACGTAGTGGTTTTGCTCCATTGGGAAGCTTGCAGTACGCATTGGTAGCCTATTAATATTAATAGTATTAACACTTCCAGAGCAAACATTTTTAAAACATTCCTTGCTGTCTTTTTCGGATTTTTTTAAAAATCAGGGTGTCTGTCAAGGTGGTCCTTAGCTTATGTTGAAGTCTGTAGGATTGCACTGGGAAAGGCGAGCTAAAACAGAAGACATAGCTCTGAAAATCAAAGATACAGTCTCCACAGAAGGCTGACAGGGTTCAGTCCCCTTTCTTTTATCCTCCTAAGCAAAAATCTCGATTTTGGCAAAAATGGACTTCGGTACGTTATTGAAATGACCCCTTCCATTACATGACGGAGATAAAGGGCGATAAGGCGGTAACCATATGAACGCCCGACATGGACGGTCAAACCAAACCGTCTTCGGTCACAAAAGAATGTGCACCGGCTCTTTAGTAAGGGAAGGTAACAAAAAACGGTTTCAGCTACCATACTGACGCCCGACGTCCTGCGTCGTCCCCGGTCAGACCGTCTCCGATAAAACATGTTCTATCGAAGACGGTCCGTCGGGCCGTCGGGAGAGATGGGAGGTAATTTGAATGATTTATCTCTGCATAGTTGTGTCCCCTTTCCAGGCCTCAATGGCACTACACAGAATTCTAGCTGCTGTTCTTGGTCAGCTCTGCATATCTCTAGCATTTCATTGAAACTGCTATGGAATTTTTCACTATCTTCCAACAACTGCGGAAACAAATGATGAAATTCACATAGCGTATCCCGCTTTCTTTGGATGGGATGAACCGAAACTCTTCTTTTCTTGGTTTTCCTTTTTAGTCTGCGTCTCAAAAGCAACAACAACAACACTTTTCTTCTTCTACCACCCGCCATATTTGCAAGACGGCGGTGTCTGACCGCCACAGAATTCTACACTAATAGAAGCGGAACTCCCTCTTCGCGATCGCCGATTCGCTGTGAGGAATTGAAACTAAAACATGGCGGCCGGTTGAGGGCACCTTTGGCTGCGCCGCACAGCGAGGCTT